GTCCAAGCAAGTTTCCAAGAAACCATCTGATCTACTGAATATAAATGAATAACAACAGTATTGCTTTTATACATACGCATCAGAAAACAATGTCAGATTGAAACAGTCTGTTCAAAACCTCATTGTGAGGACACTGAAAACAAATTTGCCTGGATTAAACATCAGTTGGAGAAGATCACTATGTGTGTTTTCTGTTCAGGGGAAGAGGAGTGTCTAGACAGGGAAGCAAAGGAGGGCTGAGATCATGGACACAAAGGTTAGCAAGTTTATGGGATCCTGTGCTAGAGACCAGCCCACTGGGTGCCAGGTCGGGCCTGACCCAACATATCTCTGGGTGAAATGCTGAGAGAACAATATCCTGGCCCCCAGCCCCTTCTGATGTTGCTGGTGTCTATTTGAACCCTAAGCACAATGATAAACAAAATACTGACACTGGATTATCTTCAAGGAAGTGGTACAGCCATTTCTTCAAGCAGGACGCTGAACGAGTGAAAGTGTGCAAGGTTCTTTGAATGCTTTCCATGAGGTTGCTCTAAGCTTAGACTGCTTTTACTGTTTTCTGCCTTCTCAATGCCCCATTTTTGATACTGCTGTGAACCCAAATTTTCTTCTTCTATTCCCATATACATGCATTAGAACACAGTAAGACAAAAGATTGCCTACTTTGGGAATTAAATTGTTCACCTTTAGGCAGTTAGTAAGGCCAAACTCATTAATCTTCTCCTATTTGCTGTATTCTGCAGTATAATTACATGGTACCAGCCAGTGAAATTGCTGGTGAAAAGCCTGCATTATGACTCTAGGGCTATTCTGCATGCCCATGACATTCTGCAAAAAAGGTGGCATCAGAATACTGGTCCCCATTACTAAACAATTCTAGTAATCATCTACTTTAAGACATCTGCTTTTGTGTCCATCTGGGAAATTATTACATTAAGATTACCACTGAACTATATACTTAAAAATAGTTTAGATCATAAATTTCATATTATGTATTTTTAAAGATTAAGCATCACTGATTTTTCCCCCAAGTTCGAAACATGTTTATTGCTTTTGCTGGATTTAGAGTAATAAATATTTGCTTTATGAAATATAACACAAAAAATAGTATAAAGCTATAAATGAGAGGCCTTTTCATAATCTTCCCTGACCAAGATATTCACTCTTAGCAGTTTTGTATATACTTTTGGAGATATCTGATCTACCCAAACCTTAATGAGAACATAGAGCATCAGAATACTTTTGTTTCAAGTGACAAAATCTAACTCAAACTAGTTTGAACATAAAAGATCTCACATAACTAACTCCAGGTATACATCTAGCTAACTTCAGGCATAGGTTAATCCAGACTCAAATGTTATCACCAGTACTTGGTTTCTATCCATCTCTCACCTTGGCCATTCTCAGACTCCACCTGGTGGCCTCCTGCAGCTCCAGGCTCACAGCCCTTTCAGTTAAATTCCAGCCACAAAGGCAGAAAATCTCTCTTGTATAATTCTTATACAAGTCGTATGATCTGTATAAACCAAACATGGTTCAAATCAATCAATATAACCAGGAAAATGAAATATTCTGATTCACCAGGTTTGAGTCTCTTGGCACCCATACAGCCAGCTATTAAGTCAACTCCTTCCTAAAAAACTGACTTATAGGGGATGACCCCAGAAAATTAGGGACTATTAAAGAAGGGTGAATGAATGCTGATAAGCAAAAACAACAAATGTCCCCATTATATTTTCTTCTTTCATCTTTGGCAGCAGGGCCAGCTACATAATTTGTGGGCCCAGTGCAAAAGGAAAATATGGGACTTCTTGTTCCAAAAGCAGTTTAACAATAAAAGATACTAAATCTACTAAAATATAAAGCTCTTTTAATTTTTCTGCAGTCTCTTCAACTTTTCATGGTATTTTTTGCTATGTAATATAAAGAAAAAAATCTAAATTTGACTTATTAGCATGCATTTTACCATTCATCATTATGTTGTTCAATATCCATTTTAAATCCAAATATAAAGCTTTCAATTCATATGTGGAATCACTACAATTACATTCATATTTTATAGGTCAGACATACATATATATTTCATTCTTAGCAGAACTCAACCGTTTTAATTTAACTTTCTGGTATGTGCATCTTCTACAACACTTCCTACCTTCAGCTTACTGATGAGTAAAGTAAGATTTAAAGAAAAAGTAATTATATGTTGTCTTTCTTTCCCTTTACTTCTTTGCCATCGTTCTCAGCATAAGTACTTGCCAAATACATAGATGTACAACAAGAGTGAAAGAATATGATAGGGTTTCTTGGACATTCTTGTTGCTTAGAATGTCATTGTCTTCTTTCTTATTCAAAGCAAGTTCTGGCTTGAGTGAACAGAGTGGCCTCTTGGGGCTGTCAGGGACCCCATTTGCTGAATAATAGATGGAACTCCCTTACCTTTTATTCACTTTGACCTCCCACGCATCGTGGGTCCATGGGAATTCTGTGCCCATGGACATCTAAAATGCTATGTGCAAATGGGGTGGCAAAGAATGGCAGACATGCATATTGTATGTGTCTTCTCTGCTCATGCACATGCTCCATTGTCCCATTAGACTACACTTACAAAACACGACTTCAAAGATAAAATTCTTAAGAATTTCAAGATAGTGACAACCAACCATTAAGCCAAGCAGGGGTAAGCACAGGGCTCTTTGCAACTCTGCACAGATAACACGCCGATGAACCTGGCCCTGGGTCTCAATAAACTAAATCAAACTATTTAAATAACCAAAAGTGACTGAAAAGTTCTGCAAAAAGATGAAGATACGGTTAAGGAAACCCACTGCTCAGAAAGAAAGGGCATTCTACAGAGAGCAGTGGCAACAGTCATTAAGAAAAAAAAAGAAAAAACAGAAACCATTTCCAATGTCTTCCCTACAATTTATTACCACTCAATTCAACCTATCACATATGTAAAACTCATTCATTTTTAATGGTTTTATAGTATTCCATTATCTGATTGCTCCAGAGTTTATTTTAACAGTCCCATATTAACATTTAAGCTCTTTCCAATTTTCAGTAGGACCTTCATGACTATTCTTGAACACTTACTTGATTATTTTCTTAAGATAAATTTCTAAGAGTAGAATTTCTGAGTCAAACAAGAAGCATGTGTTAAATTTTTATACTCATTGCCAGACTGCCTTTTAAAATGGTATACTTGTTCACTACTACTATAGCAGTGTATGAGAAAGCCTATTTCTTCATACTCAGCACTGGATATTATCATTCTTTTCCATGTTTGCCAATCTGAATGATGAAAAATGATATATCTGTACATTTCTTGAACTATGGATGAGGATGAGCATTCTTTATATAGTTATTGTTCAACTTCATTTTTAACATTTCTGAACATTCAAACTGTACCGAACTCCCCTGTCCATTCTCTATGACAGATGAAAGAAAAAAAGGGAATTGAAGCAATATGTTATTATTTCCTACCAAAATGAGTGCTAATAATAACAGCAAACATTTACTAAGTGCTTACTATATACCAAGCACTTTATACACATTTCTTTTTAAATTCTCACAATGTCATTTAAACAAAAAAAAATCTTAAGGACGATTATTATCTCCATCTTACAGAAGGAAAAAAACAGCAATTTGGAAAACTTAACTAACATATGTGGTAGAGTAAGGACTCAGTGGAAAAACAGATCTACCTGAAGCTAAAGTCTGCTATACAACTACGTTTCTAAATTCAATCTGATGTTTTTAATTTTCATATTTATATGGCAACCAGTCCTGTATCTGGTTGAATTAGAGCATAAAAAATCCTTAGCCACAAAATGACATTGTCTAATACCTAGAAAACCCTGAGAATATTAACCAAAAGGAAGAATGTTACCCAAACTCTATCTGTCTAGCCAGGAGCTGAAGGTGACTAGGAAAGCTGAGTGTGCATCACTCATCTTGAAGCCTCATAAAAGAAGGGAAATTGTATTTGCAAGTCCAATTTCTGAATGTTTGAGGAAGCCTCGCAGGAACACTGCAGTGAGGAGTTAAAATGAGGGCCCTGAGAGGGGATGTGGATAATATAGTGTGTGGGGTTCTCCACTGCAGGGTATGTAAATACTTCATACACTAATTCAATTACATGTTCAGATTATGCAGGAAGACTGATTTAAGCAACAGTTCACACCGATGCCCCATCGCCCATGTATGCATGCAGGAGAACAGAGTTAAGAGATCTGGGTCGACCTTAACTCTGTATTTCTTGACTTTTATGGGCATAAGTTGGAACTTTAATGTTTTATTAATGTCAAGTTTTGGGAGTTGGTATTCAAAATGTTTCAAGCAAAGATATGACGGATCTCAAATACCTGGAACTTGTTCACATTGGCAGGTAGTAAAAAAATAAAGTCCATATCTTAGACAAATTATTGACCAAAGAACTCAGTGGGATTATTTTGCTTAAATTTTATATAAAGGATTATGATCCCTACAAAAAGTAAAATATTTAACTTGCAATTATTTACATATTGGCATAGATAATGTATATACTTATGAACTTTTGGAAGTCCCTGTTCCAATGTATAACTAAATACATTCTTAAATTGATCATCCTCAACAAACGGAAAAAAGGAACTACAAATAAGATTTGCTCGAAGCACAAAGGAAATGAGCTAATCCTTGCAAATGCTTCAGAAAGTCAAGAAATTATACTGTCTTCCTTTTTATTCATATCATGTATTGATTTATGTAAGAAGTTCTTTCCAAAACCTTAAGGTGCTGATTGTATTTATTATTTTCTAGGAGAAAATTCAAAGATGAGCCAAGGTTGCAATTTTCAGTAATAAAAACTTTTCTGTCACACTGGTTCTCTTCTATTTCAAAAGGTTTATCCTCTGGAAAATAGTGAGATTTATGTAATAATTTTCTGAGGGGAGAGATGTAGTTACATTGATAGTTGATTTCAGCTTTTTTGCATCTGAATAAATAAATGTATTTGCTGACACGTATTTTCCTTAAAAATATTATTTAGTGGCAGATTCCCCTTTCAAAAGGCCAAGGATCAATGTGCTATAAAAATTTTAATCAGATAGTTACCATTAATGAGTGTTAACACGTTTTCTCAGTGTTACTTCTGTTTTTGCCAAGGTTTATATGACTTGCTTTACCTCTTTCCCAATTCATTCACAATTTTCACAGGTTTTATTGTGGAGATTTTTATGTTTCCAGAAACCAAAGATTTTAGGTTACATGTTTCCATATTCATAAATGTCTTGACTATGAAGAATAAAGTTAAAAGAGATTGAAACTGGGCAAAAACACTGCTTTTAAAATAGTCATTCAGGAATAATCATATCAACTAAAGCAACTGTTTGTGCAAAGACAAAAGGGGCCAAATCCTATCCTTGGATGTGCACACACAGCTCCTATTAGCTGCTGAAAACAGCTACGTGAGTGTAGCCAAGGACAGCGTTTAGCCCAATTTGGTCTAATTTATCCAGATCCCTGCAGCCATGAAAGATAAAGACAGATTATAAGACATTTTGCATGTCAGTACAGTAGTATGCTTTGTATTTTTCTAATCCCTAGGGTTTCCTTAATCAAGGCAAATGTCAGTGACTGGATCTGAGAAGTTTGAAAAGTATACAGAACATATACTTTGCAATGCCACTTGCCATAGTTGGCAGCCCTATATCAGATACATCAGAGGATGCCATTTTTCAGTGCTGGGGGCCAAACTGTAGCAAATTAAATTTACCAAAAAGAAACAGCCTTAGTCATATGCAAACGAAAATAAATGCTAAGACAGAAATAGAAGAACATTTGTTTTAAACAGTTTTTTAAATATCAATCAAGAGATATTGAATTGTGTTTTACTCGAGAATGGGGCCATAAGTCGTGGGACTGGCTTTGTATAAGCCAGTGCTGAGAAGATTGGTGAAAGATCAATTCCCCTGCCAAATTGTTGCTTCTATGCACTATACATATCTTGAATATCAAATAACCTATCTTTCTTATACAATATTATATAATTATAATGGAACCACCATCCCCCTCTTTCACTGACATTTCACAGAAAGCAAGAAAAAAATGATTTGGCAAACTGCTTTGTAAATCCATGTCAAACAGCACACTGCGAAATATGTTTTGTTTATTACAGTTAATGGATACCCAGGAATATTTGCTCTTGTGATGGACACTTATTTGACACTTCTTATTCACCGGCAACTTTTGAATGCTTCTTGTCTGCCTCATGTGTGTGGGAACCCAATCCAGGGCTTTTTACACAAGTAAAATTCCTATTGATGTCAACAAAATACTTGACATGACTAAGGCCATCTCAAAACTTTCGGGGACATGTCAAAAACAGATTAAGGGAGAAAGAGAGATTTATGAGTAATCTGTCAAATTTCACAAAATGTAAGCTGATATTTTATGTAAATGTTATACCATTCTTTAGAAAAAGGAGCATTTCAAATTCCATAAATCTGACATGCTGATGAAATGTGTGTGTGTATGTGTGTGTGTGTGTGTGTGTGTGTGTGTGTATGTGTGTGTGTGTGTATGTGCGCAGGAAGGGAATACACACATGTGTGCATCACACAATTATACTATGTGCTCAGACCTGTAATCTACAGCAGATCTCCAAACAACTTAACAAGCTAAAAAAAAATTAAGAACAAAAATGTTTAATTTTTTGGCCAAAATAAAGCAACTGAATATGGTTTTAAATTGCCCACACTATGCTTTGTTCTTTTCTGGAGATGACAATGAATTCAACATGGCCATAAAATTCCAGAGGAGCTATGGATTAATAATGATGTTCGCAGCACAATGGGTGGGAGGTTTGGGGAGACTGCAGTAAAAATATCAAGTTATATATTCTTTCTTTTTCCCCTAAGAGAAGTAACATCCAAGGGCGTACATGGTTATCTTCTTTCTTTCCCGTTGAATTTGCAAAAGTTGATTGGAAAAGTCTGCTTCTGGTTTTAGGGCTGAAGTTGGTCATCCAGAGCATGGATAATTGCAAGACAAAGGTCTGTGATGCACAGCTTGTGAAACAGGAGCTAAAATCAGTGCAGATGATATACTGGGAATTTTATACTCCAAAGGCACAGTGAGTCAGACACAGTTTCAGTTAAAGGGTTAACAATCCAAAGTCAAACCAAAGAAGGCTGAGAGTTCAAGAAATTAAGTTGTCTGCAGAAGAGTGCTTGCCTCCTCTGAGACATCAGCCATTAGCATCATTCCAAATAATTGTTCCTTCACTGCTTCTGCTTTTTGCTGGGGTCGCGTAGCCCTGGAACTACAGGCAGAAACGGAAGGAAAGGATTCTTCTGCTTGTTACAAGGACAATTGTGTTGACATTATCAGATCATTTTGATGGTGCCACTCCAATGAGTTGAACAATTTCATCACTCTGAGGCAGTCTCATAAAGGTCATCGTCATGTAGAAGACTGAATTACAGTGGCAAACTACATGACAAGGAATATGGACACCTGGAATTTTCTTTCTCCACTCTGGGGCTTGCATATGTTTTGCCAATTTCTCAATCTGTGCATTGAGAATAATGATTAATGTACTAAAGTATCTTGAGCTTCAGGGGGGAAGTTTGAGAATTGTGTAGATAAAAGTGCTATTGTTTATAAAAACAACAATACTAGCAATACTAGCTTCCACATACCAAACACAAACCATGTGATCAATATTGTACTATGTATTTCACACATATTTTATAGGCATATAAATTCTAGGAAGCAGGTTTATTATCCAAGTCATATGGATTTTTTTAATTATGGGTTCAGAGAGAGTAAAAAAATTTCCCCAGTTCATACAAATAACTCAAGGTAGAAGTGACACAGTTGTTACACTCACATAAAAACTGGACTCCAGTTTTGTGCTTATCAGCTCTGGGGTTAATATGGAGCCAGGGTCAAATCCTCACCAAGAAGAAGGTTGATTTTTATCTGTATGTCCACCTTTTCTGAAAGTCATCAGTAAGATTCCTGGTTTTATGAACACAAATTTGTCTATTACCTTGTCTCAGTGCCCTCATGATTAAAGTTCTTTCATCTCCTTATAACACTAGGTGTCATGGATATCTTAGTTTCTGTTTTTGTTTCCCTAAAAAATAAGAAGAAATGGATAAATACGATACATTTGTATCCACAAATGAAGCTGAATTGAAATTGGTAATAAATGGTCTCTCAAATATTGTTTACATTTGCTAGTGCTATACTGAATAACTGACAATTTCCTCATCTTTATTCTCAAACAAGCTCAATGGTATTGGTGTTCTGAGCACTGAATGAAAGAAAGACAAGTCCAGATTTTTTTGACTGGTAAACTGATTTTACAAGATTGGCAATTTGTATTCATATCCTGATATTCTTTGGGAACTCATCAGGTCCTCAGTACACCAAACAAGGTGATAATACAAAAGCAAAGAATCATTAACTATTTCTTGTATCACCAGATGTTCCCAATATTCTATACAAAAAAACTGGGACTTTGTCAGTTGAATTTTTAAAGACGTCCTTGAAACTTTTTCTTTAGGCATTTCTGTTCCTTATGCTAAATATTTTGAAAGAAGAAAACTCACTAATGTTTAACCAAATATTTTTCCAACTCTATCTGCCTCTATGACCTACATCCCTGCTGAGTCAAACTGGTCAAGGCCATCTCTCCTTCAGGCCTCCAAGGCTGCTATGTTAGACTGTTCTTGCACTGCTATAAAGAAATACCTGAGGCTGAGCAAGTTATAAAGAAAAGACATTTAATTGGCTCATGGTTCTGTAGGGGGTACAAGTGTGGGATGAGCATCTGCTCAGCTTCTGGTGAGGCCCTCGGGAAGCTTACAATCATGGCAGAAGGCAAAGGGGAGGAAGAGAGAGAGAAAGGAGGCGGCCAGGCTCTTTTAAACAAATGGCTTTTGTATGAACTCACTCATGCTAAAGGGATGGCTTTGAGCCATTCATTAAGGATCTGCCCCATGATTCAAACCTCTACCCTGTGATCTGCTCCACCTCCAACTTTAGGGATTACATCTCAACTTGAGATATGGAAGGGCAGACATCCAAACTGTATCAACTCCCTTTCAGGAAAAGAGAAAAATCAGTATCTGAAGCTCTCTGAGCATATGAGAAGAGCATTTGGTTCATATGAGAAGAGATCACCACCCCCATCTCTCTTCTTTTTGCCATTTTACTCCTTTGTCTGCCAAAGTACACAGCAACAAGAAGTTCCAAGAAGACAGGAACCTGGCATGCCTTATCCAACCTCCTATTCCTAGTGCATAGAATAGTGCCTGAGAACCTGACAGATGCTCATTAAATATGTATTAAATAAATAAAAAGTCATATCTGAATATGGGGGCTATCAAGGAATTTTGATTATCCAAAATGAAAAGTTTTGATTCTCCATTCCTCAGGATCAGATATCATAAGTGCTTGGTATGATTACAACAGGTTCACACTGCCTCCTCTCTCCTTCCTCAGAGCTAAAAACTTTTCTCTATAATTGTTTGGTCACAAAATCATATATGTATGTTTTGCATCATTCAGACATTCTTATCTGGGCATCTTGGCTCTGGAAGACTGATCCTTTCCCCATTCAACACAGTAGGTTCAGGTAGAAGGGTGGAAAGGTTAAAAAAAAACAAATCTAAAACTTCAGTACATAACAAATGATCGACATAAGATAAAATTACAGGGCACTTATCTCAAAAAAATTATGCCCAACACTACTGATTAGTTTACAATAAGACATTATAGTGGTGTCTAATGTACTATATAACTTTTCCCAATTTAAAATAGGAATGTAATAAGTAGAATTTCTAAAATGCCCCTTTCTAATCTCCAGACTGTGAATATGACAAAATCTCATGCCCATAAATATATTACATCACATGGCAAAAGGAGCCTTGTAGATGTAATTAAGGTTACTGATCAGTTGGCCCTAAAATTAAGAGATTACCCTGGATTATACCAGTGGCCCCAGTGTAATCATATGAGTCCTAAAAATCTGAGAGCCCAGTCAAAAGGGGAAATCTGAGAAAATAAAAACAAGACTTGCCATTGCTGGTTTGAAGAGGAAGGAGGCCAGGTGAAGAGAAATTTGGGTGGTCTTTAGCAAATAACAGCAGTCCCCAGCTGACAATCAGCAAGGACAGAGGGACTTCCATCCTACGACTGCAGAGAACTGAATTTGGCCAATAGCCAAACAACCTTGGAAAGGAATCTTTTTAGAACTTCCATATAAGTGCCTAGCTCAGCCAATATCTTGATTTCAGCTTTGCTATATGCTGGACATAGAACCCATGAAGCCATCTTGGACTTTTGATCTGTAGAAACTGTGAAATAATAAATTTGTGTTGCTTTAAGCCTCTAAGTTTGTGGTAAATTTTACAGCAATAATAGAAAGCTAATAAAGGAATGATAGAGTATCTGGCTTCACATTATTAAAAATAAATATTTATAAAGAGTTTAAAAATAATAAATTTTCACTTGCAGGGTGTTTTTTAATATTCAAACTGGGAAGCATTCTCTATGGTTCTATAATGAATGGAAGAATGAGGGGGTGGGGAAGATAATCTGACAGAGCTATGTGCTAAAAATTAATATCTAACATTACCCAGGGAAATTGAGTCACTCAGTCAACCAGCATCGATTGTTTATCTGTTATCCACAAAGCATCAAGCTGAGCAATGGAGACAGAGATTAATCAAACAGGGTCCTAGTGACAGACCCTATAATGTAACAGAAAAATAACATAAAATGTGAGAAATGCTATATTGTTATGGGCAAATATGCCACGATGGGATAGAAAGGAATTGAAAATAATTGAAAGGGATAGTTCAATCCACTACCAAGTCTTTTCCATCATTGTTCTTTGATATCAATAAAACCCACTGCTTATGTTTACCTCTATATATCACCACTCTATGAGATCAGATCAAGGCCATTTTGCCTAGACTTCTGCTACAGGCTTTTAACCAAACTTCCTGCCACCACCTCTACCATCCCCTAATTCATTATCACAGCAACCAGAGTGATATTTCCAGAATATGACTGTGATGATGTCACTCCTCTGTATAATATTAACATTTTTCAGTAGTTTCTCATTGCCTTTATACAATTTCCAAACTCTTTAAAATGGCTCATGTGACCTTCCATGACCTGGTCCCTGCCTCCTGTCCAGACCCATTTCTTACAATACACACCCAAACCCTGTGTCCCAATCACACTGAACTCCTTGAAGTTATATGAACATTACTGTCCTCTCTCCTTTGAATTTTGGTAGAATTGCTCCTTTTTCCTGGAACTCTCACCCTTGGCCCCACATGACCTAGATAGTTCCTAAACATCCCTCAAGCTCCATCTAGAAATAAGTCCTCTTTGAACCCCACAAACATCGGAATGAGTATTTTCTATATGTACACCTTATATCATGAATTTTATTTGCCTATTTACTCGTCTTTCTTCTACCCTACATTATAATATCTGTGGGGGCAGAGACCATGTTCCACTTCCCTTTATTTCTCAAGAATCTGAGTAGTAGATAATCAGTAAAAATATGCATACTGATGGAAGAGAAGGGAAAGGGAAATGGAAAGGGAGAAAAGAAAACAGATGTGTGCTTCTGTAGATGAGTCTGTAGGCAGAAGCGAAGAAAGTCAAGGAGATAGCTTGGAGCTGCTATAGTCTCTGTAAACTATAAAGTAAAGGTAAAGGCTGAGAATGAAGGGCATGAGAATAATGGCATGAGTTTAAAGGTTTCAAACAGCTGTCTCAAGAGGAACTCTAGAGGAAGTCCATCGGGACAAGTGAGAGGATTGCCAAGCTGCATTGAGAGCCCAGCCAAAGTTAGAGAATTAAAGAATAATGATTATTTTTCCTGAATCTTAATTTCCGTAAGATCCAGAAAATGTTGCCCTGCTTGCATATGTAGTTGCTTCCACAAAAGAAACTAACTTTGAGAGAAAGAAAATCCAATTGAATTTTTAAAATAATTTCTGTAGTAAAATGGTTTTGCAAGTGTCTGTGGTTGGTTTCCAAATACTGGAAACTAAAACATTTTTGTAAATCACAACCACGTGTGTTTTATGCTTATAAGCGTTTCTACCTTTTCACATTTGGTTTTTAAAAAAATTACAGGTGGAGGTAAAAATGTCAGCCAACAGAGTTTTGTGGATCACACAGCCCCATGCAATTAAGGCGCCATTGTTAATTTCCAAATTGTCATAATCCATTTGAGAATTTAAGACAATTCAAAAAACAATTATGAATGAATGAAAAGTGAATTGGGCAATCAACTGAGATGAAATTCAGCCCAGAGAAACAAAATGTTGAAGAAAAAAAATCCTAGAATATGGGAAGAATGAAAGGCATATGGAAGTGACTGATTGTGTGGGGATGGTCTTTAAAGGCTGAGGTTGCTTGACAAGAAGGTGGTAGGGGTTTGTTTTACGCTGAATGGGATTTAGCTGTTTCGCTAAGTGCAGCAGATTTGGCTTTTTCATTTATAAGTTGCATAGTTAAAATGTTCAGGTCTACCCAGATGCACATAGATATATTTGTATGTTGTTTACCTAAGACTACCATATAGCAGCAAATAAACAAAACCAGTCCCCACAGACATTATGGAGCAGCTTGCTGCAAAACAGAATTTCAGTTGCTTATTCTGATTCTATGAGGGAAGATTAATTTGTGAGGCATCTAAATGAATGATTTTACCCTAAATCTACAAGTTCAAATTATCATACCCTATAATTTTTAATTTTTGAACTTGAAATAATATAGGTAAGCGGGTCATCTTCAAACAACCTAAAAACACCCAGGTATACTCTGTGGAAGGCCACACTAATGTGTTCTAAATTAATGTTTAAAAATTCTTGCTCTCTGAAATTTTATATTCCACACAAGCAAATATGCCCACAGAGAGGAATCAAATATTATTACATGATGGCTCCTGTCCTTTTAAATTCTTCTTGCTAAACCTCTATTCTCCTCTAAGCCATTTCCTCTTCTTCCAATCATCATTCTGTGCTTTTTAAGGCATCAGCCAAGATTCATCAGCTGCTTTCCTTGATAAATCACAAACCATCATGATTTTTCTCATGGTTC